ATGGGAAGCCCAAGGGGATTACAACTGAGATGGGAAAATGATGGAAAAATAAACTATTATATTATTCATTTTTTTAAAAAGTCCAATGCTTGTACAAAGCTAACTGTGAAGAGAGAGGTCCCCATTTCTTCACAGTTCCCCATTCTTGTATCTCAGAGACAAGCTGCTTTACTTCTTTTAGCTGATTCTCTCTTTGTTACTTTTCTGCCCCCAAATACCACCTGCCAGGACTCTGTTCAGTTTTATGTCTCATCTTTAGGGAACTGACTCTTCTATCACATCACCTTCTTCTCCCAACATAGTGGCATTATAATATTGATTAGCTCAGTGCAGCGTTTGCATTACTTTTTTAACATCTTATAATTTAATTTCTATTAAAAAGATGTCCTATCATTGAAACAAAACTGGTAATTCCGGTGTGTGAGGAGGAAAGGACAGTGAGGAGACTACAGAGTCGTGGAGGTAGAAGAATTCAGCAGAGGCGTGTGGGAAGCAGAAAAGAATCACTATGTTGAAGCAGGGGTGAGAGAAACTGTTCATCAAACCACTGGGGGGGGGAGTCTTTTTTATGCTCTGAGTGTGTGGGCTCTCTCGGACTGAAGGCACGGGCTGAGCCAGCTGCTGTCTGCTAGTCAGGCCCTGACCAGCCCTGTTGTCTTTTGGACTTCACTCCGGTCTACAGTGGCCACACCTGGGCTATGGCCCTGTCTCTAGCAAACAGGTGGTTTCCTCTTCTGCCAAGGAATTTAACTGCCTGGTTCCTGTGGTTAACTCTTAGGCTCTCCAGCCAACTTAAAAGTTCCCAGCCCCCTCTGCCAGACATCAGAGACTCATATTTTAACCCTGTAAACTCCAACTGTAATAGCTCTCAGGAGCCAGAGCAAGAAAGCATTTTCAGACCAGGTCGGAGTAAAAACACTGTCAGCTGTTAGGGAAAATGAGAAACAGCAAAGTGTTGACTGAAATGAGGCTGCAAATGATGGGGATGACTCATCATTGTCAACCCTCACCAGGCAGGTCCAGCACCTGAGCTCAGAGGAGAGGGCTGCCCAGGAGGGAGCTGAGGAGAGGAGCAGGGACGTGGACAGAGACCCCCTGAACTCTGGAGCCTGGACAGGGAGGCTCAGGGGAGCATCTACTCAGGCCTAGAAAGAAACAACGTGAAATCAAAGCTCAGGACACCTGCATCACTTCTGCAACAATCTAAAGTACAATATTCCAGGAATAGCAATTTGTACGAGATTAAATAGGCTCAGTTTTTAGGCAATACCACCTTTATGTGAAGGAATGAATGACAAGCTATCATTATATGGATTTACTTGTAGGCACTCTCTAGAATTTGAATTTGGGTTTGTCCCTTTTAGAAAATCTACTGAGAGTTGACAGCTGATAGTAGTTAGTTGCCTCATAAAATGCAAACTTTAAGGGAAAATCAGGTGTTAGAAAATTGTGTCCCACACTATAAACTTCACAATTTCTTATACCAACTAATTTTCCCTTTGGGATCTTTGGAATACAAAGCAAATAGGATTTTAAAATTTTGATTCTAGAATAATAAACACAGTGAATATATGACCTAGTGAAACAATGAATTACTTTTAAAAATCATGTATTAGCTCCAGATCCATTAATATGCCAAGAGAGGCATATGGACGTAAACAGCAGAGTAGAAAACATTCAGGGATAGTGTTGCAGGTTTCTCTTTGCAAACAGCAGGTGAACAACTACCACTTGTATAGTTTCAACTTATTATCAAAGTCGTAGCAGTGTTGAATATTCACAATTATCTGAAAAGGTTATAAAGTGCTATTCCTACACATTTCTTTCAGGCTGTATATTTTTTCATCAACCAGCGGAAACAACAGACTCCAAGCAGAAGAAAATATCCAACTGCTAGTGAGACAGAGAAGGCCCTTGCAAAGCTATAAACTACAAGCTCCACTTTCTCTCTATCATTATTTTCAGAAAGTTGTTTTTCTATAAAAAATTAGTTAATATGCAATGGATGGTTATAATATTCTAAGTGAAATAAAACATTTTAAGTGATTTTACTACTTGTATGGCAAAGATTAATAGTTATATTCATAAAAAATTATACTTGGGGGTCTGCAGTGCCAGCCAGGCACTGAGCAGTTTCCCTGTTGACTAGGCAGGCTGGTAGAGGAGCGTCCGGGCCACTTGGGGGCTGTTTCAGGCTTCGTTAAAGATGTATTTATGTATGCATACAAGAATTAGGGTAGAGGATAGAGGTCCCCGGGACCAGAGGACTCACCAGAGACGGAGTGGGGAGCAGAACAGGCAGACTGACTGCAACACACTGCTGGGGGAGCAGCGGGCGGCAGGAGAGGTCTGCTGCTGTGCCATGTGGCACCTCCCTGGAGGGATCAACCTGGAGCTGCTGTGGATAGCTTCTGTGTGCTGCACTGTAAACTGCTGGGCCACCAGAGAAGCCCCTTTCAGGCTTGCAATAACCTTTCCGCACCCTCTGCAGTGAGGCTACAGGTACAGGGCTGGCAAGGGGGCGCAGGCCAGGACACTGGCAGCCTCGCAGCCCCTGGCAAATCTCCACTCTGCGGGCTCCCGGCTGCCCTCCTGCTCTCTTTGCTGGTCCCCACCGTGCGCTGCCACTCAGTCCTCTGACCCGCCCGCACACGCTCAGTGGCCAGGCTCAGCTGTGCCCACAAACGCGTGCCCGCACCACGCTGTGCGAGCTCACAGGGGCTCCTCATTGATGCTAGTGGCAGGAGGCGGAAGAGCCTGACCACTTCCATTTACCCTGCAGTGCCCTTGCCAACATGGTGCTTGCAGAGATCCTGAAACCACAACGCCTGACATTCAGTGACCTGTTTCCAGAACAGGGGAGGAGGGGGGCAGAGGAGGTCCGGCGTCGGGGGTGTGGCTTTCAGTCAGGTCTTGGTGCCCTGGGTGGTGTCTGGGTACAGGAAAGTTACCATTGGTGATTCCCCATCTGTACTGTCTCACTTCTCTCTCACAACCCCTATGAGGTCCTCCTTCCTGGATACCAGTGACTCACCCCACTTCTCTCTCCCCATTGCCTGGTGGGTTTCCAGAGAGGCCAATCAGTATCTCCGCAGCGGCTCCGGTTACAGTCTCCACCCACCAGCCTGGACTCCAGTCTCTCTGGCCCTGTAGGTGAGGGTCATGGGGCAGTTGCCCCTCAGGCTGCTGCTTTATGGGGCCCTGGCCCTGACAGAGACCTGGGCAGGTGAGTGGGGGAGAGGGGGGCTGGAGGGGGTGCGAAGGGGGCGGGGAGGGAAGCCACCGCTGAGGTGGTAGAAGCCAGAGGACCCCAGGTGCCTGCAGCTGTGGCCCGGCACCCAATAAAGCCTCTTTTCAGCCACAGCCTTCCCGTTGTCCCCTCTGGGCCCTGCCCTGTCCCCTGTCTGTCCCTCCAGCCCCCTCCTCTTCTCGCCCTTGCCCCCCACCCCACCCCATTCTATGCCCTGGGCATCTTCCAGGCCCTGAAAAATGTCAGGACCCCCTTGCCCTCCTCTCCCGCCCCATCATCTCCCCAGGACAGGAGACTCACACGGGGAGGAGGGTCACCCCAGTCTTCCGTCCCCCCCCCCCGCCCCC